GTTAAAAGAGATTAACTTAAGGAGTAATGAAAGGTAATAAAACGAAGACCGGCAAGTACATATCTCTACTTGAAGAGAGTTGGCAGCAACGAGAAAAAGAAAAATATTTGGTAGTTTGAGGAATGGCAGAGTCTTTTATTTTATTTTATATGATTTTATTTTATTTTATTTTATTTTATATGATTTTATTTTAATAGCTATCCTAACAGAGGTGTGATGATAACCTCTTTGTGGTTTTGATTTGCAGTTTCCTGACGATTAGTGATACTGAGCATCTTCTCATGTACTTCTTGACCATTTGGTTGTCTTCTTTGAGAAATGTCTCTTCAAATCTGTAACACATTTTTAAATCAGATTATTTGTTTTTTGTTGTTGAGTTTACTACTGCGTTGGAGTTCCATATATATTTTTGGAAATTAACCCATTATCTGATACAGTGTTTGCAAATTCCATTCCACAGGTTGCCTTTTCATTTTGTTGAATGTTGCTGTGGAAATTCTTTTAAGTTTGATGTAGTCCCACTTTTCCATTTTTGCTTTTGTTGCCTGAGCTTGCGGTGTCATATCCAAAACAATTATTGCCAAGACCAGTGTCATGAAGCTTTTCCACAGTGTTTTCTTGTAGGAATTTTACAGTGTCAAGTCTTATGCTTAAGTCTTTAACACAGTTTGATTTGAATTTTGTGTGTGATGTTAAGCATGGGTCCACCTTCATTCCTTAGCATGTGGATAATCCAGTTTTCTCAACATTTGTTGAAGAAACTATTTTTTCTCTATTGTGTATTCTTGGCATGCTTGTTAAACATCAATTGACCATATATATGTTGACTTATTTCTGGGGTCTCTATTGTGATACATTGGTTTATTTTTCTGATTTTATGCCAGTACCATATTGTTTTAATTACTATTGCTTTATAATATATTTTGAAATCAGAAAGTGTTTATTTAGGTTGTGATACTTCCAGCTTTGTTCTTTCTCAAGATCGTTTTTGGTTATTCAGAGTCTTTTATGTTTCCAATTAATTTTAGGAATTCTTTTCTATTTCTATAATAAATGCCAGTGGGATTTGATAGGGATTGCATTGGACATTTTAACAACATCAGATGTTTCAGTTCGTGAACACAGGATGTTTCCCCATTTGTTTGTGTCTTCATTAATTTCTTTTATCAATGCTTTTTAGTTTTCAGTGTACAAGTCTTTCACCTCCTTAGCTGATTTACTCCAAAGTATTTTATTCTTTTTAATGCTATTGTAGGTTGGATTATTTTTTTAATTTCCTTTTCTTAATGTGGTTAGTATGTTCTTAATGTGTGGAAATGCAACGTATTGTGTATATTGATTTTGCATTCCATCTCTAGCTGAAATTCTTTATTCTAACAGGTTTTTTTGTGGCGTCTTTAGGGTTGCCTACATATTACATCACATCTGTAAGCAGAGATAATTTTCCTCTTCTTTTCTTATTTGGATACCTTTTTTTAAATTTCCTTGCCTAATTATTCTGACTAGGGCTTCCAGGACTATGCTGAATAGAAATGGCGGGAGTGGTTATACTTGTCTTATTCTTCATCTTAGAGGAAAAGCTTTTAGTTTTTCACCATTGAGTATTTTTGTAGATGTGAGTTTGTCTTATATGGTATTTATTATATTGAGGTACATTGCTTCTATACCAGATTTTTTGAAAGGACATTAAATTTTGTCAAATGTTTTCTGCATCTATTGAGACGATCATGTGATTTCTTTCTTTTACACTATAAATGTCTTATATTTCTTTTATTGATTTGTACATGTTGAACCATGTTTTCATATCAGGAATAAATCCCACTAGGTCATAGTATTTTTCTTTTATACGTTGTTGAAATCAGTTTGCTAGTATTTTGTTAAAGATGTTTACATCTACGTCTGTCAGAGTGATTGGCCTATGGTTTTCTTTTCTTTTACTGTCTTTTTGTAGGTGTGGTATCAGGGTAATGTTGGCCTCATAAAAATATATGGAAGTATACTGTACTCTTCGTTTGTTTTGAATTATGAAGAATTATCATTAATTCTCTTTTAAAATGTTTAGTAAAATTCCTCAGTGAAGTTCTTTGTCCTTGGGATTTTCTGTGCTGGGAGATTTTTGATTATTGATTTTTTTCTCCTTACTAGTGACGGATCTGCCTAGACTTTATTTCTTCATGATTCAATCTTGGTAGATTGTATTTCTAGGAATTTACCCATTTTACTAGGTTACCCAGTTTGTTGGCATTATAATTGTTCATAGTAATCTCTTGCGATCCTTTTTATTTCTATGACATTAGTTGTAATGTCTCCTATCATTTTTCTTTATTATCATTTTAAATTTATTAGGGCGACATTGGTTAATAAAATTATATAGGTTTCAAATGTACAGTTCAGTGATACATCGTTGAGTCTTCTTTCTTTTTCTTAGCCTAGCTAAAAGTTTGTTTTTAAACAACCAACTCTTAGTTTTATAAATTTTTTATATTGTTTTAATAGTCTTTATTTCATTTGCTTCTGCTGCATTCTTTATTTTTTCCTTCCTCTGATAACTTTAGAATTAGTTTGTTCTTCTTTTCCTAGTTCCTTGAAATATAAGCTTAGGTTGATATTAGAGATCATTCTTTTTTTAATATAGGTGTTTATTGCTACAAATTTTCCTCTCAGCACTACTTTTGCTGCATCATCAACTTTGGTATGTTGTATTTTTATTTAAACCTGGCTCAAGAAATTTTCTAACTTCTCTTTTGATATCTTCTTTAACTCATTGGTTGTTCAAAATGTATTGTTTAATTTCCACATATTTTGAATTTTCCTGTTTTCATTCTGCTGTTGGTATCTAGTTTCATTACATTATGGTTAGAAAAGATACTCGGTATGATTTCAGTCTTCTTAAATTTGTTAAAACTGGTTTTGTGATATAACACATGATCAGTCCTGGAGAACGTTTCATGTATACTTGAGAAAAATGTATATTCTGTCTCTGTTTGTTGGAATGATGTGTATATATGTCCATTAGGTCCATTTAGTTTATAGTATGGTTCAAGTCCACTGTTTCTTTATTGGTTTTCTGTTGGTTAATCTGTCCATTATTAAAAGTGGGGTTTTGAACTCACCTACTGTTAATGTATTTCTGGCTATTTAATCCTTCAGTTCTGTCAATGTTTGCTTTGTACATTTAGGCTTCTGTTGTTAGGTACTCAAATTTTATGATTCTCATATCTTTCTTTTGAATTGATCCTTTTATCATTATCGGTGTTTTCTTTTTATCTTGTGACTATTTTTTGACTTAATGTCTATATTGTCTGATCAAGTGTAGTTGCCCCTGCTCTTTTTGGTTGTATTTTTAGGAAATACCTTATTCCATTATTTTGTTTTCAGCCCACGTATGTCCTTAAATCTAAAGCGAGTTTTTGTAGACAGCATATAGTTGGATCTTGCTTTTAATCCATTTAGTCACTTTATGTATTTTGATCGGAGAGTTTAATTTGTTGACATTTAAGTAATTTTTGATAGGGAAGGATTTACAGTTACCGTTCTGTTCGTTGTTTTCTGTTTGTCTAGTTGTTCTTACGTCCCTCTATTCGTCTCTTGTTGTCTTCACTTCATTTTTGTTAGTTTTTAGTATTGATATGCTTTTATTCGTTTCTCTTTTCCTTTTGTATAACTTCTGTAGGTATTTTCTCCATGCTTACTATGGGGCTTACATAAAATATCTTATAGTTATAACAGTCGGTTATAAACTGATGACAATTTAACCCCCGTCGCATATAAGAATTGTTCTCTTTACCTCCCCCCCCACACTTTAGTTATCAATGTGACAATTTATATCTTTTTATATTGTGTATTGTGCAATTTATTTTTAGTTTTAATTTTTGCTAATAATATAACATTTTAGTTATAGTTGTTTTTAATACTTTTTGTCTTTTAACTTTAATAGTGGAATTTAAAGTAATTTATCTACCACCATTACAATAATACATTTTTCTGGATTTGTCTATATATTTACCATTACCCGTGAGTTTGGTACTTCCATATGCTTTTGTATTACTGCTTAGCATACTGTCTTTTCAGCTGGAAGAAAAGAAAATCCTGTTAGCATTTCTTGTAAGATGGTCCTAGTAATAATGAACTCTCTCGGCTTTTGTTTGTTCAGCAAAGTCTTTATTCTTCATTCTTGAACAACAGTCTTGCCAGTTATAGTATTTTGGGTTGGCAATTCTTTTTTTTTCAGCACTTTGAAAATATCATCTATCCTTCAGTTCCTGCTGTTTGATAGTCTAATGGCTATTTCCTTGAATGTGACAACTTGCTTTTTTTTCTCTTGCTGCTTTCAAAATCCTCTCTTTGTCTTTGACTATTTGATTACAGCATGTTTCACTGTGGATTCCTTTGAGTTCTTCCTGTATAGATCTTTTGGGCTCCCTGAATCTGGCTATCCATTTTCCTTTCCTAGGTAGGGAAGTTTTTAGCCATTATTTCTTTGAATAAACTTTCTGGTTCCTTAGTGCTCTTTCTCTTTTCCTTATGAGACTCCCATACTGTGTATATTGCTCTACTTGATGGTATCCTGTTAGTCTCTTAGGCTTTAATTACTTTTTCATTCTTTCTTCTTTCTGCTTCTCTGAGTGAATAATTTCCAATGACTTGACTTAGAGGTCACTTGTCTTTGTCTGCTTTATATATATTCTCCTTCGAACCCCTCTTGTGAATTATTCAAATCTGTTGTGGTATTCTTCACCTTCATAACTTCCTTATGTTGCTTAAGTTTTCTGTTTCTTTTTGAATTTCTAATTTTAACATGCATTATTCTCCTAACTTTGGTAAGCATCTTTATAATGGTTATTTTGAATTCTACATTAGGTAAATCAAATCTCCATTTCATAAAGTCAGATTCTGGAGTTATATTTTTTTCTTTTGTTTGGAAAATATCTCTATTTGGCTTCTATTGAGTTTTCCATCATTTTTCTTGCTTCTTTGCGTATTTTATATTCTTTATGACTTAAATTGTGAAAAAATTACAACAGAGGGTAAAGAAGTTGATATTTATTCTCAGAAAAGGGTATTCTCTGGCGTCTTAGGCCTTTATTGTAGATGACTGAATAAGCATTATCTGTATTTGAGCCAATCTTGGGATCTGTTACAACTTTATTTAGATTCTGTTCTTCATTGTCTTCAAACATTTTAGGAATGGGATCAGGATTATTCTCTTAGCAGAGGTTGGGATCTGTGCATGGATGAGATCATAGAGATCTCCTTAAGCTACAGTCTAGTTTTCAGCTTTTTCAATCTGACAGGTCCTCTTTGCTCTTCATCTCTGCATTGTTTTCTTTACCTTAAAGGATTTCTCTCTATTCTACTACCCTCTCCCAAACCTTTGAAGGACCATTGCAGTGAAGGAGTTATGTACCCCAGAGGTATTTTGCAGCTTTTTTTTTTCTTTTTTGCCCTACCCTGAGCTATCAGAATGCCACTACAGTGTTTTCCATGAAGTTCTGGAGTGGCCTCGTGGTATTATTCTCCACTACCCTACCTGCCTCCCCTAGCTTCTGGAAGGCTAGTGCAGGTACAGAGTACTCTGGAAAGATTTCTCAGACCTCTGAAGTAAGAGATGTTTAGCTGATCTGTTTACTACCTTACATATAATAGACACCCAATAAATATATGTTTAATGAATATGAATCCTGTCCTCTCAGATTTCAGCGTCAGTAGGACCAGAAGCCAGATAACAGCATTTCATTCTATCTCTGTTCTATTGGTCTTTAAGAAAATTAATGAAATTACAAAAGAACTATTTATTAGGCTTTTAAGATGTAATAAAGTGATTTGTGACATGCTCTACCTTCTTCTTGCTCACCCAAACCCTGAAAGAATGAGGGAATTATAAATTGTTTTATTTGTTCTTCTAAATCAATTTTCTTAGGTGTGGGATACCACATAATCATGGTGAAGGAACCTCACTGTAATGTTGAAGAAATCTCCAAACTGATTTATTATCATATACCATCAGCCACTTTGGAGAAGAATATTAAAAATGAATTATCTTTTATTCTACCCAGAGAGTACACACACAGGTATGTACTAAGAGGGTGCTAAAGAATGATGTTTACATAATAGAAAATCATTGTTGCTTTTTCTGGCTTCTTCAGACTTAGCAAGTAGAGTTTATTTAACAACCCAAAACTCCAGTCATAGCTGCCACTTGCACTGAAGAGAGGGACGCCACCTAGCGGCTGTAGTTTCCTGGTTTTAATTGGTGATAATTGATAGTATGTTGGTGGTGGAGTAAAAATTCTGTGTTGAGGGGAATGAATGGAAATACTAAGATAATAAGAGAAAAAAATGCTTTTGGTGGTGGCTCTTGAAGCCTGGGTGACAAGAACCCAAAGGGAATAGGCAGTTCTACTGCACCAGTTAGCCAAGTTATTCATCAAGGGGAGTCACAGAATAATTTTACCTAAGATAACCATCCTAAAAAATTGAAATGGAGACTAAGCGTACTCATCAGTGACTTTCAGAGTATGATGTCTTTATCTTTTTACATACATGCAAGTACTTGCTTTGGTGTTCTCTACCAAGCTGGCTGTCATAATCAAGAAGAATATGAAGGACTTCTCCTTTTCTAGTAAAAGAAAGAATGTATCAGAAAAGACACATGGAAAGAAAAGGAACTTCGTTATTGGAACTTTTTTCTGCAGTAATCTGAAAGTTATTGAGAAGCAGCAGCATGGAACAATATGATCGGGCAGCAGAGTAAAACCAAGACCCTTGTCATAAGCTGGAATGAAAGAATGGAGAATAGGAAATAAAATTTTAGATATGTATCCTTAGGTACATGGTATTTGACTCATTCTGCAAAGGTGGGAACCAGGTGGGAGCTTTGGCCCATTGTGATAACTGTGATCCACATGAAGCTGCAGAAGCTCTCTGGAATCAAACACTTGCCTAAACTTATCACACTCTCTGCCTGTCCTCATTCATATGGACACAATGACATTCTCAAAAGAATGTCTAAAAAGGAAATGAAACTATTCAGAAGCAGATGATGTTCTATATGATTACAAGTCATTCCTGAATAAATACCAGTCTCATAAGGATGAAAGAAAAAATGATTGAGCTACAGGAAGGGTAATGAATTTTGAAACTATAGCATCACGAGAAATGCCTACTTTGAAAATAAATGTATTGTAAAAACAGAAAATTTCAGAGACTCTTTGCTTTGTGGTCTGAACCCAATTAAAAGAGGACACTGTGAAGGGGAGAATGACATAAAATGAGATAAGATTCCTGATTGACTAATAAAAATCTGACCAGTAATTATGGCAGAAAAGAAAACTAAGAGAAAGCTACGTCAAGAATCCTCAGAACTATATGCAAAATTACAAAGAACAAAAAGAGAACAGTGCATTAGCGCCGCACACCCACGAGAATGGCTGAAATTAAGGACATGGCACAGTTGGGTCTCATTGCCAAGAGAAATGTAAGATGGTAAAACCTCTTGGAAAATGTATGGCCACTTCCGCTAGGCTAAGGATGTGCTCATCCTATGACCCAGCAGTTATTCCTAGTGTATTCTTAAAGGCATATGTCCATCAAAGGACATATAAAATATATATATATATTTTAAACATGCTATTTATAAGATAGCTCCAAAAACTGAAAACTCAAATAAATGTTCACCATCAGGAAGAAGAAAGAATAA